CGACTCTTCTAAGTTAAACTTCCAATTCAGATACTAAGTATCTCAATTCACTCTGAAATTACTCCGGAACCGAACCAACTAACCCGGTAAGTAATAATACGGTTGTAGAACACAAAAGAAGCAGAAAATAGAGGAGCGAGGCTATAACTCTCGAAACGACCGATCGGGTCGTTACATTAATAATGTTCTTTCAAATCAGCACTTTTAGATTAACTTACATTGCCAATAAATATTTGCATCCCCTATTTGCTCTGATGGATGTTTCTTACAATAATCATAAGAGGAACTATATGTGAAACTTTAGAAAGTTGTTGCACATTCTTTTAAAAAGCTAAATGTTGCACTTGCTAAGAAGCAAATGTATAGGTTGCTTTTTTTGGATTTAACAGATGAGTTTTTGGTGCCTTGTGAACTATATTTATGCAGTTTCAAGTGACTAATTACATGGTTATTCTTTATTTGTTTTCGTGGTAAGTCGATGGAGTTTAAGGGTAGTTTTAATGGAGGTTTAGAGGTGATTCATGGCTGGTTTGCAGTAACTATGGTGGCTTAAGAGCTGCATTTTTAATGGGTTTAAGTGACCTTTCGGACTGTTTTTTTTTTCGTGCAGATTTTCGCTGCGGTTATCTTTTGGTTTTGATGGTTGATTTGACAAAAACTTTAGAAAGTTGCTGCATATTATGTTAAACATCTAAGTGTTGTAGTTGCTAAGAAGCAAATTTATAGGTTGGTTTTTTTGGATTTAACAAATGAGTTTTTGGTCCCCTGTGAAGTGCTTTTATGCGGTTTTAAGTAATTATTTACATGGCTATTCTTTATTTGTTGTCGTGGTGGGTCGATGGAGTTTATGGGTGGTTTTAATGAAGGTTTAGAGGTGAATCATGGTTGGTTTGCAGCAATTATGGTGGCTTTAGAGCTGCATTTTTAAGGGGTTCAGGTGACCTTTCGGACTATTTTTTTTGTACAGATTTTTGCTGCATTTTTCTTTTGGTTTTCATGGTTGATTTGACAACAACTATGGTAGTTGGAACTCTATGTATTTTATAGTTAGTATTATAGTTTAACCAAATGCTTGAGCATTTATTTGTACATTAACATAATTATTTTCACTACAGTGGCAAAGCATTGTGGAATTGGTATAAAATTTGAAGAAAATGGTGTCCAAAAAATTATATCCAACACTTAACATTGTAATAGACTAAAGTAGGATATAGGTCTAACAAAAAGGGATAGAGGTAGTTCTTTTAATCAGAAAATAGTACAGAGGTAGTAAACTGCAGGGATTCTGCATAAACCATGACAGTCCAGCTGATAGTTGTTGATGAATTAATCAGGTTAATTTGTAACCAGAGACAAACATAATGTGTGCACAACAAATTTGCAACATTGAAGACATCATTAATGTTCAAACCATTGAAATATGCATCTAAACTGCAATAAAATTTTATAAAACAAATGAAAGCGAATGACATTACAATTTGGAGTCCGCTGAAAATTCGGTAGAAGTCCTTGGAAGTGATAATATCAATAAATCCCGTCTTTGGCATTGCACATTCGTTCATCAATTATTTGTACATTAAAAAAAAGTCTTCATTCGTCGACGGTAGCTGGCTTACTAAAACATTCAGAAGCCGTAATCATATTTGATAATCAGCATTTGCTCCAAATTGTTGAATCAGCAATCAGTCTTCTATCGAAAGACAAAACAATTAAACTACAAATTCTTGTGGTAATCTCTAAATTTGAGAATCCCTTTCCTTCTATGCTCTTGACATTGTCGCCTAATGACATTCACGAATATGAAAATCTTTTGGCAGTACTCTGTTTCAATTTTACAATAAAATGGCCAAAAAGTTGAATTTGATCTAATCAGTATCTATTATACTTCCAGAACAACGTTACCACTAAAATGAGTTGTGTACAATCACAACGGCGCTTATCTCAGTACTATTAGTATGTTTCTGGTTTTTAAAATGGGTTTGATGCCTATATATCTTTGGAGCCTCGCTTTCCCCTTGAGGTTGATTATTAACACAAAATGCAGCATTTAGCTTTGAGCACTAACTTTTTGTCAACATCCTATTATTCACTCTACAAATGTTAGTTTTGTCAAGTAATAGAAAGATTAGCATCATCTATGGTTAAACTTTTGCATTTTGCTTTTGGTTAAAATAATCTGCTCATTTGTAAATTTATTGCATTAGGACTTGCTCTACTTATTCAGTATGTATTTGAATGCAGATTTATGGTTAAGTTTTGCTATTTGTAGATATAGTGAGAGTAACTAACTAAACCCAGCGAAGACGATTCAGTTAACGCTTTCATTTTTTCCACTCGCACTTCTATAGAGTTACAGCTTGAGTTTACTATCAAGCTACCATGGTGAACTTGAAATATCAGGAGATTCCACATCCATATCATGGAATTGCGGATGATAAAATTATTCCAATGCCAAAGTTATTCAACTGAAAGTCAATTCTCCCGTGATTGGTGGTTTCCCTATAATGAGGTTCTCTTGAGTCTTTGCTTCACCTTTAAGAATGATAAACAAATGAGGCATTTAATGTTCTCGAAATTTTGTTCAGTAAGGCCACTAAAATGAAGGTTCTTGCGTTCCAATCATCTACTCATGATGAGATAGTTACGTCTGCTAGCCCCAAAGTGAAGATTAATCCCATAAAGTCAAGCAATTTGTGAATACTAACATTTTTCATTTTCAGAGGTTTCACGGATGAAAGAAATCATCGATACAAGTCGCGATGAGGTTCATATCTATTGACTAATTTTTATTAACTTCAAATTAACTATTTTGGTATTGTTGGTTTTGTACTAAGATTGTAACGTATTTTCATACCTTATGAAGTAAGTTTTTGTTGTTGATCTTGACATAAAAAGATTAATGCAACAATGTGGAAATTTATTTTTTAATAAAATTATTTTTACTAACTTTTGAAAATATTATTGCAATACTTAATAGTTGGTGCTGACTTTTGTAGTTTTACTTGCTTGATTGATGGAATTGTTAGTTGATGGGAAAATAACAATGTGGCTATAAGTTCATAGACTGTTAACTAACTGAAGGAATATGTTAGTGAAATTAAAATTAACTATCAACGTACAATTTAAAGACTTAATAGTTTGTGATATATATGTTTTATTACAGATAACTAATAAATTAAAATACTATTTCTTTGTAGCTGTAACTTGATTGCGTTTTAGCATTTGTTTATGTTTCGTTGGGCCGGTCCATGGAAACAGTCAGTAATATCTCCGTGCTATTTTAACCATTACATATGGTGGCAGAAGACCGACTTGATCTCCTCCATCATTCGACAAAGCTTGCTTCTATTTTTGTGGTATATTCTCCTCCTATTCCCCAATAGTTATAGTTGTACGTCACTTCGTGCAAGTGCGAATTACATTGATATTACTTTTTTTTTCTTAGGCAGTTGAATTATTCCTGAAGAAGCTTTGCTATTTGTCATACCTTTACATTATTACTTCTAATTTCTCAGGCACTTGAAATATGGTATTCAAACAAAGCTATTCTCTCAATTGAAAACTCGATTGGTGGGACCATCCACTTTAACTACAATTTACTTCTCCGGCTTAAGCTTCATAGTATTGGAGAAGTTTAATTAGTTGTTAACAATTGAATTTTTGGGATTGCGACGATTCAGGAAAGATGAACTAAACCGTGTCGTTCGCCACGCTCAGGTAATTGTTTAATTTAATTTATTCAGAAGAATTTTTTTTGTCCTTATTAATTGTGAGCAGAGGCGGACCCAGGATTTGAAGATGACGGGGGCACTATTAGTGGAGAACTTTACCAATAGTTGTTGGGTCCTGCCGGATGCCGACAAACTTTCGGTAATAACTGACATATATAAGTGAGTTAGGAGGTGAAGTTGGGTATGGAGTTTGGGAAAAGGGAAGGGAGAAGTGATTTAGAGCTTTTAAGGCTGGGGTTTAATCAAAACAAAAAACAATTAAAAAAATAATTAATAGAAAAAAAGGAGGTTTGGAAGGGGGGGGGGGAGTCCAGATTCGAACCTAGGACATCCCGCACGGAAGCAAAGGCAAGTAGCACGTTTGACCAGTGCCCGCAGCAGGCTTGTGCTTCAGGGTGCCCAATTAAATATAATGCCATTTCTCAAGGTACATATACATATAATACATATATATACAAAAAAAATTCCGATGTTTACGGGGTCCCGTGACCCCTCTACCATACACGTAGGTCCGCCTCTGATTGTGAGGGGATACAAAAATATTCCATAAAGTATAGGTTTGAGTTAGAACTGTAATTCGATATATGATATTCATCTCTTGATGAGTAAATTGTGGATATTCAAAATAAGCTTTATGGTATTCGAATGTCCAAATAAAACCAACCAAGAAGACCACAAAAATAAAGGTATTATTACTAACAAATTATCAGAATCTTCACTGTTTTTATCACAAGTTTTGTAAGGGAATGGCTCTAGGACGATCGCCATTGAAAGAGATAATTAAGGATTCAAGATGGTATATATTTCTTAGGTTTAAGGAGAGCTAAAATCCAAGGGTTGAAGGGGGTACACACACACACATATATATATATATATATATATATAAAAGTTTAACAACTACCATTAATACTCTCACTTTTTTTACAGATGATTTAGAGAGCTAATAAAGAAGACGATTTTTATGAGAAAACAATATTAAAGTACATTATGACAGTGGAGTAATTTGTCATGGGCTCATATTGTATACCCAAACACCATTTGAGAGACCTATGTGAAAACAGTAAATTGTAGAGACTCCTTTGGGTTGTTATAAGGTTTTATGATGCAATTTACTATTTTATATGTGTGCTGACAATGCATTTACATGTTCATACAATAATAGTAGTTGTATGCTTCTTTTTATCAATCATAGTTTTAAAGTAATATTTTTATATGAAAAATTATATTTAATATTATTCGTACAACGCGCGAGTACATATGATAGTGGTTGGAAAAAACAAAAGAAAGAGAGAGAAAAATAAAAGGACCAGATAAATTCGGAAATTTCTCCTCTGGTTGAGAGCGAAATCCGCAAAGCTATAAGAAATTACCTTCCAAAAATATTCAACGGCAGAGACTTGGTCTTGGCCATTTTTATACGTGGCAGTAAAACAGAAGACCTCATTTCACATACATCCACGTCGCTATTTGTCCTCTCAAAAGAACCGCTATGTCAACTTCCAAAGTTTAAAACGCTCTCTTATATATATCTTCATGTTTTACTCTCACCCTTCTGTAATTCGAAAAACTGAAAATTACCAAACTGAAAACTGGAAAGTAGTCTTAATAATAATCAATAAGTATAAAAAATGGGGAAGAGGACAGCATTATTTGTAGTGTTGGTGGCGGGGATGTTGGCCGTGAGCTGGTGTTGGGGAGAGGAAGCGGCGGAGATTGCGAAGGAGAAAGCAAATATGGCGGCGGGAGAGATGAATAACAAAGCTCAACAGGTTAAGCAAAGTTCTTCTAAAGCCATGGACGATGCTAAAGAGAAGACTGGCTCTTGGGCTGATTGGGTCGCTGGCAAATTCTCACAGTAAGCAAAATTAATTCCAACTTACTCTTTGTCATTCTTCTTTGAGGAAGTGGTTCCGTACAAATGTTGGTTACTTTATATCTGCTGTGACATTGTCTAGGCTTATAGACGGACCATTTGGATTTTAATTAGACATTAATCATCTTTTAAAAAATTAATTCCTGTAATGTTGTTTCAGATTATAGTATACATTGTACTTCCTATTTGAAATATTTTACACACTAGTGTGAGGTCACTTTTTTGTCTCACAATTGTGTGGTCCCAGAATTTTGTGGATCCAGACGTGTAAGATATGGGTCCAGAAGATATGTCTTACAATTGTGTGGTCCCAGAATTTTGTGGATCCAGACGTGTAAGATATGGGTCCAGAAGATATAAAGAGGTGCCCTCACACAACTTGCACAAAATAAAAGCACTCCTCCAGATGACCCGTAATAGCTTACGTAATTAAGAGAGACACATAATGAATCAATTGTCAACCTTTTAGAAGGGTTAAACTAAATTGTAAGGGCAAATGACCCTCTTTTAAAAATTAAAACTTTTGATAAAAAAATTTATCAAACAAATTGCTTAGGGGGGACTAACATTTATTTCATCTTTTTAAAATAGATCGGAAATATCGAAACAGGGGGAGAGTAGAGATGAACTTATTTCAATTTTCATTTCATATTTATTAATCGGAAAAGTCTTAAGAGTGTTCAAAAAATTTTAAAAATGAAAGAACTAACTCAAATATGCCAATAATCTGAGAGAAGGTTTAAAAAATTATTAAATGGGCTACGCGATGATCGTTAGGTACTCACTGTTACAAAGTAAAAGTAGGTTGTTTGTTGTTGCCTTCAGGTCGAATGACCTATATGTTTTTTTCAATATTTTGAAACAACACATACGTAAATAGGTGCATTGCATTCGATGAATCAACCAATGCTAAATTGTTGTTCCCAAGAGACTGCTCTAAAAGATTTGCGGGATTTATTCACCCTTATTTTCAGGTATCAAGACGATGCAAAGGACGAAGCCCAAGGGTTAATGGATAAAGCTAAGGATACCATGGATAAAGCTAAGGATACCGCATCAAATGCAAGAGATTCCATAAATACTGCAGCACATGGTAATTTTCCTCTTGAATTCAAAGCTTTAGTGAAGCCGAGGAAATGAGTTCGGCTACTTCCTTACTTTGTAGTACGTTGAAAGAATTACTACTAAGATTCAGCGTTTTTTAATGCAGGAACACAAAAGTATGGTTCTCAAAAGGCTAGTGAGATGGCTAACATGGCATCCGACAAATTTGGTGATGCTAAACATCTTGCTTCCGAGAAGGCCAATCAAGCTATGGATGCAGCTGGAGATACCGCTAGTCATGCCAGTGAAAGAGGAAAAGAAAATGCATATGACGCTTATGCCTATGCATCGGAGAAAACTGGTAAAGCCACAAACATGGCTACCGATTTTGCCAAAGATAAAGCTCATGATGCTTATTCCTCCGCATCTGATAAGGCAGGTCGAGCCACTAACATTGCTTCTGATATGGCTGCTGACGCCAAAGAAAGAGCCAAATATAAAGCTTATGATGCCAATGATTTTGCCAAAGAGAAAGCTCATGATGTTTATGCCTCCGCATCTGAGAAGGCAGGTCGAGCCACTAACATTGCTTCAGATATGGCTGCTGACGCCAAGGAAAGAATTAAAGATAAAGCTTATGATGCCCATGATTTTGCCAAAGAGAAAGCTCAGGATGTTTATGCCTCCACATCGGATAAGGCAGGTCGAGCCACAAACATTGCTTCAGAGATGGCCGCTAACGCCAAAGAAAGAGCCAAAGATAAAGCTTATGATGCCAAAGATTTTGCCAAAGAGAAAGCTTATGATGCCAAAGATTTTGCAAAAGAGAAAGCTCATGATGCTTATGCCTCGGCATTGGATAAGGCAGGTCGAGCCACAGACGTTGCTTCAGATATGGCCGCAAGCGCTAAAGAAAGAGCCAAAGATAAAGCTCATGATGCCAAAGATTTTGCCAAAGAGAAAGCTCATGACGCTTATGCCACCGCATCTGATAAGGCAAGTCGAGCCACAAACATTGCTTCAGACATGGCTGCAGACGCAGAAGAAAGAGCCAAACATAAGGCTTATGAGGCCAATAATTTTGCCTCTAAGAAGGCGCACGATGCAGTAAATTCAGCTTCCGAAATGGGTAGTGCAGCTAAAGAGAAGTTTAAGGATAAAGCTTATGATGCCTATGGTTTTGGAAATAACAAAGCAGGTCAAGCCATGGAAAAGGCTTCAGACATGGCCGGTGATGCCAAAGAAATTGGGAAAGACAAAGCTTATGATGCTTATGGATATGCATATGACAAGATGGACCAAGCAAGGGACGGGGCTTCTAACATTGCTGGTAATTCAAAAGACACGATGAAAGCCAAAGCATCCGATGCATATGATTTTGCCTCCGGTAAAGCGGATCAAACCATACGAATGGCTACTGATAGAGCCAACGATCCGAAAGAGAAAGCATTTGATGGATATGAGGGTGCGAAATCAAAGGCTTATGAAACTTATAGCTCTGCTAAGCATAACATGAATGAACAAGTCAAAGATAAGTATGAAACTGCAAAGGAGAAGGCTTCGGAAGCTACAGGCAAAGTTGGAGCAAAGATGAGAAGTGGCGGTAAAGAATTATGAGCAATTTAGTACAATTAACAGCCCCTGAAACTAAAGGAAATCTCACATGCAAAGAGGTTCCTATTAGGTGAGTGGCTTAGATTTCACTATTATTTTCTTCTTTTTTCTTTTTTGGTTACCTATTATTTTTGTAGGACAGATGAAATTCTTGACCAACTCAATTCCGTATGGTCATCGCGTAGGTTATACTTACTTAATAAAGAGAATATGTCATTGCAAAAGTGAACACGCATGCTAACAAAGCTGAAAAAGTTTTTGTACCAAATGTAAAAACTTAGTACGTGTTGAAAATGCTATTACTATCGTTGAATTTCATTAGTATATAGTGTGACAATTCTATCATTTCAAATTAAGACTGCTGAATGATAAGACCTATGCGTAGATATTGATCAGACGTGTCATTGTAGGATGACCCAGGAACTGTTCCACAGTCACGTTCCTGGTAGGAAAGACCTTCTAAAAGGGCCTCCTACGATATCTCCACTCGTATTTGACCTTTTTAAAAGGAACTTTCAATAACCCGTAGATGCTAAGGGCTTTGATAAGCGCTTATTTTCTTGACGCCTATAGATAATGAATTCAAATTTCACACTTAATAATTGAGTGGTAAATTTTCTATTACACTTTCTGTGGCTTTCCGAGCTGGAAAACTCCCAATTTACTAATGCAATTTTCTTTTCGAGAATTTATATTTTATATGAAGATGGTCTAAAATAAAAGGTTGTGTATGTACTAGAAATGCTTGGATAATTAGCAAATAGAAGGCAAAAAAGAAAAAAACCTCTGATAGAAGCTCTTAAAATGACAGATGTATCCTATGATGCGTTTATGTAAATAAAAGGATGTCTTGACTGAAGTAAAATGTCTGATAAAAGCTCTTAAAGATCTTGACTGAAGTAAAAGACAAAATTTATGATAATTCTTTCTAACTTCAATTTAAAGTTCATTTAAAAAAAATACTTTACTAATTAGGGAAATAATGTCTTGATTTTAGTGACATTCCTACATAACAATCAGTCAATCACTATATATATTATTATTCATCTAATAACATCTGTTATAATCTTGTATAACTACGAGTTTTGCCGTATGATGGTTTGATCTAATTGAAGTTATTTTTTTCTCTTTTATTGTGTACCTGTTCATGTGTAGTGTTAAATTAACTACAGTCAGTTCAGTATGTCATTATTCAAATTGAATTAGTTTATCACAGCCTGTCTAATCATACTCATACTCCGTTTGACTACTAATTGCATTTTACATGTAGAGAGGAGATGAAAACATAGACTGTAAACTACATTACTATAATGGAAAGCAGTGTCAAGATGCAAGTGTATAGCATAATACACAGATTAGTTTGTGAACAAATACTTTGAAACACCCAAAGTTAAAAGTCTAAGAAAAAATTTGGGAGTAGGGGAAATAAATCAAATAAATCATCGAGTTCATTCGATGGATTGCTTATACTGGAATTGAAAACTAATTAATGTTCTTGAGAATAACTGTACGTACATATATCCTCTTTTTGCTGAAAGAGTTGGTAGGTTTCATTAATACCCGCTGCTCTGCCACTCAGTGGCGGAGCTAAAGAAGTACTTCCACAACTGGCCAATTTGCTTTGGGCACACCCATTAAGAAAATATTAAATTTGAGACAAAAGTAGTTAGTATGACTAAACTACCCTTAAATAAATGTTGCAGCATAGTTAATGTGAGGAGTAAAAGACTTTTTAAGGATACGTACATGAGGGTGATTTTGGAAAAAACAAATTGAAATGTTTCTTGGTTATATAAATGCACAATTATTTTGGACCGAAATAAAAAAGCAAATTGGTCACTTATTGTGGAGCGGAGGGAGTAAATAGCTTTTGCTTAGATCTTATATTTGTATTTAAAAGTTCATAATATATATATATATATATATATATATATATATTCAATTATGAACCCAGTAACTAAAATGAGTTATGAGTTCTATGATAAATTCAGAACCCATAAACTTCAAATTCTGATTCCGCCCTTGCTGCGACATGTATAAGCAATTTCTTTTGTCGTTGTCCGAGTGATATATTATATCTATGATCTATCTATTGAGATATGGATACTTGAAACGCGGAAGTAGTAGAGACTAATAAGTTTTACTGCTGTATCATAATAATGTCAATATGGCTATGGTCTTATGTTCACCAGCCATTTACCGGCATGGTTTGGTCCCTTTTTTTGACGTAAAGATTCTGGGATATAGGGTCCTATGTACCAGTTCATTGTGGGTTGATGAATTAATGCAGCAAATTATCTATAAGTATAAGGCTCAAGCATTATGATAGTTTTTAATCATGTATTGAACTTCCAATAATTACGTACAAAGATCGTAGTTTGCAAGCTTTACTATATTGTAATTTTCATTGTCACCACATAAAATCACCAGTCTGAAAGTCATAGAATTGTTTTTTTCAATATATATAAGAGACTGCAAATTAGATCAATATCTTGTCTTAATTATACTAATTGGGTAATTATGAAACTGGTCGATGAAGAAACAACAATATTGTCCTTCAAATTAAGAATACATAACCTAAATGAGAGGGGTAATACACTCCTAGTCCTAGCGATTGTATTCTTTGTTTGATTTGTCTTCTTATTTCCGTGATAGGAGCTGATTGACATGTCGACAACACAATAACAGAAAAAACAAAACATAAAAAGCGGGACTGATTAGAAAACCAACTAGCAACCCCAATCTAATGCACAGAAAGGGGAATTAATTGAGACTTTTGGATCTAACTTATAGAAAGGAGTAAACCTAAGGATCAATTTCTAGTTAGATTCTAAATTACTAGGATTAGTTGATACTACTAACCTATGTGCTCGGATTCTCCGAAAATGTTGCTGGGTGTATGTCGGATTCTCCAAAAATAATGCATTTTTGGAGGATGATTCGACAATATTTTGGAGAGTCGGCGCAACATAACTACTAACAAGATAAGGTAGATAAATTTACTAAATTCCTTCATTGTATGCTTGAACGGGGAAAGACAAAGACTAACAAACACTGAACAGTCCGGCCTTTGAAGCTGCTAATTAGAGTTTGGAAATTGTGCGATCAAAAATTAATTATTTGCCTAAACTCTTCCTAATCAGGCTTATGCACAAAGAAAAAAGTCTCTAATGAGTCTAAATTAATCAAATACGGGGTTTGCAGTCTTGCCTTAAGTTTGTTTCCTCTTGATAGCTTGTTTGCAGTTGTGCATAAATACCTTAAACACTTGTCTCTTCACGCCCACTTCGTTACAGAACTGCTGCACTTCTTGCTCATCTTGTTTCTGAATCCTCCATTCTAGCTTCTCAGCAAATTCTTGCATTTTCTCCTTCTGCTGTTGAGAGAATTTCGTTCGAAATCTCTTCTTTGACGCCGAAAAAGCACAAGGTTGAATCACCCCTTGTCCTCCGGCATTCGAGTGAAACATGTTCAGATCTTCACTCGATGATTCAGCCGGAACTCCGGTGTTCCCTCCGAAGTTCATCATCACTGGTGGCATCGTCGGACCTCTAGAATAGTTGTGAGAGTACTTATGATGGTGTTGCTGCTGCGGCGGAGCTGGAAGAGAAGGCGGAGTCTGGGTGTGTACACGGTGGCTGTTGCTATTATTTCTATACACACCAGCTGTTTGTAATTCGTCCTCAGTCTCTTTCCGATGGAAATTGCGATGACAATCACAAGCTGCACATTTAAGGTATTCTGGGGTTCCTTCTTCTCCACTTGGCATGAATTCTCCGCAACCATCGAGGACATGTCCTCCCATACTTGCCGCATGATTCTTGAGACATTCTTTGTATCGGACGGAGCTGTTCCTGTCGCTTGCTGAGGTTGTCGATTGTTGTCGAATCTGTGCTGCAATAACAGTCGGATCTGGATCTGAATTTTGAGTAAGATTATGTTGATGATCTAGGGTTTGGTTAGGACTGAATATGGTATTTCCATAGCTAATTTGTTCATTTCTTGTTCTATCTGGTAGACTTGAAACTATTGGAGCAGTGGGGAGTTTGGCTGCAGCAAAGGGTGTTGATTCTTGCTGGTGGTTTAGGCCGATAGAATTGGGCATGCCCATATCCTTTTCTCGACCTGTGTGTTCCATAAATCCTAGTATCTGAAATGACTGTCTTGATCTTAAACTTCACCTTCTGGTAAGCTGTCCTAATTTACAAGAAATATCTTCTCAACTCTTTCAGAAAAAACTCAGTGATCTATCATAATTGATGGACTAATCACTTGAGTGATCTAAGACTTGTCATTTCACCCTATAAAGTGGACATTTTTAGTGCTAACTCCTCAGTTCTCACTAATTCCCTATACGTAAGCTAATTAAAGACACTGAGAAATGGACAAAAGATTGACCCAATGACTTGGTTAGCTAGGTAGTACGGAGTACTATTCAGAGATGGGGTAATTTCTAGAAAATTGAGAGGGACCCCTTTCTAAATTAAACAGCCGGTCAACAAGTGGTAAAACTAGATTTTGAAGTCACTGGCAGTAAACATCAGAGATTTATTGATTAAAGGGGCAGGATTTAGAATAATCAATAAATACTAGACTAATTAGCAGTATTCTTTATCTGCTTAGATGAATTAGCAACATCTATTTGAAGAAAAGATGCAATCTTAAAGTTATCAAAGAGGGGAAAGCACGAGGATTGGAAGCCAATAGAATAATTAATGAGGAAAGATGGTCTTGCTGTGTCCTTAGAGGCATCAACCAAGAAACCACACATGAGAAGGAGGCACCAGAGATAGTTTTGTAGCTAAAGAAAGAGTAATGAGTGACGACTTGCCATAAGATAGTGATGAAAGTAAGACTGACTCCACTAAACAACCGACAAAGTCATGTTCGTCCTCTTCTGCAGCCTGCACACTGGTCCAACAATGTCATTATTGGCTTAGCTTTCTTTCAGTATGTCAGAATTTAAAGAACCGGAAAACGTGGAATAATATGGCGGGGAGCTAGATGAATACAATGGTGATGTGACTTAACTATGGTCCCTGCAAATCGTCCTGTGATCTGTATAAATTCTTTTCCAAAACGTGATTTAGTTTCAAGAATCTAGAAACAAGATGAGGCTTACACCCGTAAACAAGATAAGACAAAATGGTTAATCAAAACACTTATAGCCTGTTTGGCCAAGTTTTTTTTGGCCAAAAGTGGTTTTTTTTTTTTTTTTAGGCTAAAAGCACTTTTGGCAAAAATTGAGGTGTTTGGCCAAGCTTTTGGAAAGAAAAAAAGTGCTTTTGAGGAGAAGCAGAAGCAGTTTTGGAGAAGCAGAAAAAAGTAGCTTCTCTCCAAAAGCACTTTTTTGAGAAGCACTTTTGAGAAAAATACACTGAGAAGCAGTTTTTTAAAACTTGGCCAAACACTAATTGTTGCTCAGAAGTACTTTTCAAACTAATTAGTCAAACACAAACTGCTTCTCACCAAAAATACTTTTGAGAAAAGCATTTTTTAAAAAAAACACTTCTCAAAATAAGCTGATTTTTGCAGGTTGGGCAAACGGGCTATTAGGCTGCCAATTCATTGATTATAAGCTTGGTAAAAAAGAGAATAGTATTGGGGTCTTTTTGGTACAGTACGTAAGTGTGGAAAATAAAGTGGGTATATATGGTCCACGGTAAAGCAAAGCAGTAACTTGTTCCCGTTAGTGTGTATGTCAGATGTTACACATACACACACACACTCTCTCAACCTTGTAATCAAGAGAATCTGTTAGAGATTTGCCTTTAGTTTTCCGAATTATAGCAATTTACTGTTTCACAAGCACAGTGGCATCTGTAAAGACTTCAAGCGAGAACATTATTAAAAGAAGAAAAATGAGGGAGAAGAAAACCTGTGGAGTATTTGTTTTCTAATTGTTCGACTGTGATGATCTGAAGCAAAAATTAATGAAAACGGTTAATTTCTATTTTAGCAAGCATAATAAATTCTATCTCGAAGTAGCTTTGGCATAATTGGTAAAGTTGTTATTATGTGATCAGACGGTTACGTGTTCGAGCCGTAAAAATAATTTCTTGCAAAAATGCATGGTGAAATTACGTACAATATACCCTTGTGGTTCGGACCTTTCTGGACTCCACGCATAACAGGAGATTAGTGACGGGGCTGGCTTTATAGGAATTTAAACGAATGTGTGGAATGTTCAACTTTTCATTTGGTCGACAATATATTTTCTGGAATTGTATAAGATGAAACACTCAACCTAGATGATAGTTCGTTAGGAGCTGGAAACGGGAGAGAGAGAATAATATATAGTACTAATTTCTGTAATGTTGCTTTTGATGATACGTAGGAGACGAATTTGCTGGCATCACTGCATCACCGTCCAATTGAATCTTTAGGAAAAAATTATATTATTAGAGTTACTGAAAGTAGTACTAACAATAAAGCGTCCAGGATCAGTGTTTGTACCTTTTTCTTGTTTTAACCAATTAAATAAGTAATCTTTAGTCCACCCAGTTTAATCATTGATGATTGGAGCTTTTGTTCCTAAAAACGGAAAGGGAAAAACGATTAATTTAATCGCTCTGAGGACACCTCTTTGCTGGAACAAGTTCCAACTGGTTCCTTGTTTAACTAATGTCGGATAGGGTTTCAATTATTAAACTTAGATAAGGATCTTACTCATAAATTAATTTAACTACTACAACTGTTAGATTCCTATGGATAAACGTGGCAAAACCCTAGCCATTTTATCATGACTTTGCTACGTATATTTTATGACATATCTTCGATTCCTTGCATGATACTTCTCAACCGTGTCTCGTGGACAGGAAGTAGAAGAGAAAATTTGTACTAGTACAATAATTAAAGGGATGCTAACATCTTTTATTTTTAATTTTGTGGACTTTAAAGGTAATTAATAAAATAGAGAAAGCTCTATCATAATTGTGTTTGAATTAGCCCCAGAAAAGGTATTTTTTTTTAAAAAAAATTATGCAAATAGAGATTTTGCTTGGATAATTGTTAATTTTTATGGAGATTTTTGGATGGCTGTTTTAACAAACTGAGAGCTTTAATTTAAGAACACTCTAAAACTACTTACTCATAGAATTTGGGAAAATATGCAAAAATTTAACTAGAACTACAAGTTTTGAAATTTCTAGACGAAATCTAGAAGAAAAAAAAAAGGATAAGTAAACGCCACCTAAATTCTAATTCGTAATACTGTATTCCTGTTGTTTCTCAATATTATTCTGTCAAGTTTGGCCGAAATGAGAAATGGATATTTATGCCTGTTCAGGAGTAAGAGTCAACAGAACATGTCGACGCGTTCACCTGTGTTTGGTCAATGTGGCGGAGCCTTGTGGCCGTCTTTAACATTGCATTAATGTATTTAATTTAATGAAAAAGCTCTTCTATTTATTACAGCTAGTTTTTCTTTCCTTCCAACCCGTACTAGTTATAATGGATCATTATTAGTATAAAGTAACTATTTAAATCCAAATGCCTTTAGTGCAAATGTATAAATGTCTTCTTTATAATGTATTGAAGTGGGGGCAACAGCTTCTTCTTTAAAAAAATTCTGTCATAAAATTAGAAGCAAACTTGAATAGTGATCGATTAGTCTAATTAAATGGATGGAATTAGAATATTCTCTTTTTATGTCAAATGGGAGTTGAGCTATAGTATTAGTACGTATTCAAGAATTTTCGTAAGTGATCTTAATATTTAAAGAAGTGATTGACAAGCAATGTCATTTATATATATATATATATATATATATATATATATATATATATATATATATATATGTATATATATCAAGAAAAAAGTTTCGACCAAGCGGTGACACCGCTCAAGCAAGGTGCCTACTCCTGAGTATTACCGGTATAATACTTAAAATTGAAAAGAAAAAAAGTAGAGTGGGTGCATGTAATGTTGGAAATGACACTTTCTAAGAAATTATACAGCAAAGTAAGGAAGTTTACTTCATAGTATAGTACGCACAGTAGTAGTTCGTGTGTTTAGTTGAATTATATAGGTTTCTATTGGCGAACAAATTCTGAGATACTAAGGTTGATGAAAAGTTGGAAACAGCTGTCCGAAACTAGATCGCAACTCGAGAATAAAATTAGAACGCTCGAAGTGTAAAGAAAAATCGGATCACAACTTATGAGGAAACTTAATTAGGTAAATTCTTCACTTTCATGACCTATAAAGTGTTTTGTCTTCGTTGAAAGGGATGTCACAGGCACCGCTAAAAATCCGGTAAAATTCGACCGACGGCTACCGATCAATGTTGGTCAATCCAAAAAAGCGACCAAAAGATCATTCAGCACAGACAATTAAAGAAATTGTCGTCTATGTATTGATTTGATCTAGTTTAAGATTATTGCATGCAACCACGACTTTGATCTAGCCTAAGACTATGCATAAGTTAGTTATATTTTTATCAAGAACGAATCAGTTAGCCAAGATATCAATAGGAGCACTTTGCTAACTTAGTTTTGGGTTAAAACTTTACATATATGAATATGAAGAATAGGTTAGCATTGTTAAGAAACGAAAAAATGCGATATTTTTACCACGACAAACTTGATTCCATATTTGTGAGCCTTCTTTTCAGTTGTCAAATGCGATAAATTGATAGTGTATATAATCATATGGCTTACAATCATATCAAGTTGTCATGGGAGAAAAAAAGATCCTCGGTTCAAAAAAATTCGATAGAACAAACTACAAAGGAGTTTCTAATTAATGCTCCAATGCAACGCAGAAAAAGCTAGAGAAATACATATACGGATAAAGGAGTATGTTCTTTAAAGCTCTTTCCCTTGAGGTGAACTACAATATACTCTACCAGTGACGAAGCTAGGAATTTTTCCAAGGGTGTTCAAATTTGAAAGTGAAAATAATTCCCGGCAAAGGGTGTTCAATATTTGTTATATACCTTTAAATGTAATTTTTATCAATATTCACAATATAATTTTTCGACAAAGGGTGTCAATTGACCACCCTTATGACCATGTGTCTTCGCCCTGACTCCAACCCTTATCATTTCTGTGATATGGTTTATCTCGGTACAGGGTTTAGGAAAACAATTAAAATATGTAAAATTTCTGGTCTTCAACACGCTATAATATTTGTGTTGCTATAAATTATTATTTTTTTAAACTTTGTTATCTTAAACTCATAATTTTGTGTGCTTATAAAATTTTTCCGTTAAAGGTAAAATAAAAGTTCAAAATTAAATAAGTCATTTGATTCAGGAAATTGTTTTTCTCTCAGCGTTAGCTTAACGTGCGCCGTCCATGGGGAAGAGAGCTCGGAATCCATCGCAGAAGACAATTCTGTCTCAGGAATCAGCTGCATTAGTAGGAAATCAACAACGGAAAAAGGATGAGCTGCTAAAGGCAATCAAAATCTCGAAGTCACGGGAGATAGAGTTGGAAACCAATGGAATAGTACCAGAAAAATCTAGGGATGCAGATTCAGAGAAAATTGGGAGATCTTCAATAGCTAAAGCACCTGAGCAATTGCAGGTAACATCCACCTCAAAAGAAGCTTCAGGAAGTTTGTCAAAGAGTCAAAGTAAGCTTTCGTGGGCAGACGAAGTAGAATTAATGGATGAAATAACAAGCAAGGGATCCATCTAGGACAACTTCAACATCACAAAGGTAACTAATGTTGGATTTAAACTGGAATACATAGCTCTAGAGGTGCATGCAGATACTCCTGTATGTGAAACTGAAACAGAGGATATCAGTACAGAATTGGAATATTGAAAAACTGTTAGTGTGTTATGTTTTGGGGGCTCACCCTCCCTTCTCAGTTTTGAACATCTATATCAAGAAAATATGGGGTAAATATGGCATTAATAAGATCTCTATGATGAAGAATGGGATAGTTCTGGTGCGATTTGATGATATAGTAGAGAAGAATGAAGTTTCTCAAGGATGTATATACCACTTTGATAACAAACCTATTATTGTGAAAGCATGGCATCCAGGCATGGAATTTACCAGGATGAGCTCTATATGATTCCAATTTGGGTAAAACTACCAGGTTTGGACTTCAAATATTGGAGCTCAAAGGGATTAAGCAAAATAGGGAGTTTAATTGGTAAACCATTGATGGTAGACAATCACACAGAAAAAAGATAGGGCTTAGCTTTGCACAATTACTTATTGAAGTAGGTATGGATGCCAAGCTACCAGAAAAGATTTTTTTTTTAAAAAAATGAAAAAGGAATGCTTATGGAACAACAGGTACAATATGATTGGAAACCTACTTTACGTAAGTTTTGTAAGAAATATGATCATGAGGAAAAAGAATGTCGGGCAAAGAAGGTGCAGCAACCTTTACCTTTGCATAGACAACAAGAACCAGTTCAGAAGCAAGAGAAACCAGTGACAAAGGCTGCAGAGGAGATACAAGGTATGAATACAAGCAAAGGGTCAGCAGGTAGTTAAGAGGCCAATTCAGCAGGATGAGTAACACCTATTAATACTGCAAGGAACACAATTAGCAAGCAACAAAGAAATAGAGGAATTCAGATTAACCAACAGAACACTTTCAAACCATTAGCTCAAGGTACTAGTGAGTTAGTAGACCAATGTGTTCAGGGAGTACAAATTCAAGTAAAGAATAGAGGTGGGACAGTTAATCCCCCCTCTAATCATGGCTAGCATTCTTTGTTGGAATGTTAGGGGAATGAATGCCCTTAACAAATAAAAGGAAGTAAAGCTCATTTGTATAAAAGAAAATATAGGTATGATTGGAATTTTGGAAACAAAAGTTAAAGTCAATAGGATGGATCAACTAGCAAACAAATTATTTGGAGGTTGGAGATATATCACTAATATAGAGCAACATTATAATGGAAGAATATGGTTAACATGGAGGCCAGATTGCTATCAAATTGATCTAATCATTAAACTGCTCAAGCAGTCACATGCAAGGTTAATCATCTTAGTTTAAAGCTTACATACTTGTCAACAGTATTGTATGCCTTTAATACAAGAGAGGAGAGAAGACAATTATGGACATATTTGGAGTCTATAAGTGCAGGACTCAATATGCCATGGATAGTGATGGAGATTTCAACTTTGTACTTCAATCAGATGACAGAATTGGAGGAAACCCCATTAGCATGTCAGAAATAGTAGAATTTCAAAGTTGTGTGGATGCTTGTGGTTTGATTGAACTGCCCAGATGTGGAAGTAATCACACTTGGAATGATAGACATGGAGATGGAAGAGTG